GCGGTGCGGTGCGGTGCAGTGCGGTGGTGCGCAGGGCGGTGCGTTGCGGAGCGGTGCGGTGCGGTGCAGTGCGGTGTTGCGCGGAGCGGTGCGGTGCGGTGCAGTGCGGTGGTGCGCGGAGCGTCCCGCGGTCCGGGTGTAGGCGCTGCGCGGGCAGCCTCGGTGCAGCGAGGGGATGTAGCTCAGTGGTAGAGCGCATGCTTTGCATGTATGAGGCCCCGGGTTCAATCCCCGGCATCTCCACTTGTTTTTTTTCCCCCGCTCCGTGAAATCGCTGGTTTTTGCTTTCTCTCACCTAGCTCTCCAAAGGAGCCGTAATTTTTAAGTAGTCTCGATGTCTTCCCTTTTTTTCTTTTTTTTTCTCCTTCCCTCCCATAACCATAGTTTGCAAACTTCTGCTGCAAAACACAGTGCTGAGGGATCTGGTGTAGTTAGGAACGGTCAGGGTGAGGTTAACAGTTGGGCTGGATGATGATCTTCAAGGTCTTTTCCAACCGAGATGATTCTCTGCTGCTTCCTAGAGGAAGGAGCGCAGCCAAGAGCTCCCAGCACCCTCCTGCCTGTGGTTAGCCCCAACCACTATGGCTCCACAGCATTGGTGATAAACACACAGCTACAACAGCGTGTTTTCCTTCTTGCTTGAAAACAAAAGCTGATGTTTCATCAGCATATTTTTAACGCTTGTATCCTGGCCTGGAGCCTCTGCAGCGCATGGGAGAGGTGGGAGCAGTGGGTGCAGACATCCAGACTTTTCTGTGCTTGGGTGACACCAGCTTCCTCCAGAAAGTGGGGACAGGAGGGTCACTGCCCTCACCTCCTCCTACCACTGTTAGAAGCAACAGCAAATGAACACAGTGTAAACACAGGGTTTACCAAGGAGGTAAAAGATTAGGTGAAAGGGAAGGTAAACTATAGCTGTGCATTTTTTTCCCGGACTACCAAAATTTCTTGCTGCAAAATGAGCAGATGGCGTGCTTAAAAATCTGCTCTGTTTCCTACAAGCTGCTGCATTCCCAAAAGTGCTCCAGCCCGTGAAACGCGGGGTGGCACAGGAGCACTGGACTACACAAAATAGTACTGGCAAACCATGTGGCAGTGCGAAAGCTCAAGGAGAACCAAGTGCTTGCAGCACCAAGCCAGGTATGAGAGATTGGAAAAAAAAATATTTAAAGCAAGATTAATGGATACTCTGAACTCATGGCAAACCCCTAGAGAAGCAGGACAAGGGATATGAGGATTGTGCTGGCTCTGGCTGGGCTGGGGTTGATTTCTTCATAGCAGCTCATATGCTGCTGTGTTTGGGATTTGTGACTAAAACAGTGCTGATAACACACCAGTGTTTTGGCTGTTGCTGAGCAGTGCTTGCACGGTGTCAAGGCTTTCTCTTTTTCCCCCCTCTGCTTCCCCTGGGGGTCAGCAAGAGGCTGGGAGGGGACACAACCAGGAGAGCTGAGCCAAGCCAAAGGGACAGCGTGTGCCCTATAATGTCATGTTTGGGTACCAACTGCTCATCATGGCGGAAGGTGGCGAGCGATTGCCTGTGCATCGTTTGGATTCTTTTTTCTTCTTTGTTTCCTTCCCTTCACTAATTAAACTAACTTCATCTCAACCCACGAGTTTTCTCACTTCTGCACCTCCTGGGCTGCCAGAGGGACAGGGAGGAAGCGAGCGGCTGTGTGCTGCTGGCCAAGGTCTGTGGGAGAGAGGCAATTCGACAGCGGCCTGTCAGCCCTGCACAGCCCCTGACAAGCAGCAAGGCTTTGATGAGAAACAGGCCTTGGGAGAAAGATAAGAAGCTGCTGAGTTTTGCCAAGGTGGCAGGGAAAAAACAATGGACAGCTGCAACACTGAGCTGTGGAAAAGTCCTGA